AATGTGCACTCCAAAGCAACTAATTTTATGGAGGATTATAGCAAATTCAGAAACAGAATTATTGCCTGACTCCCAATTCTGATTTTTCTCTCTGATGGAGGCAAAATATTAAATTCATTATAAAATGATCCCAAGGTAGCCTGTTAAGAGATGATAGCACCTAACATACTCTGTGCACTACTTGCAGGAGGGGGAACATGGTGTCCAGAGGGATGGAGAAAGAGGCAGAAGAGTGCACTCAGTGGAAAATGGATGATCATCTTCAACTGCACATCCTGGTGCACACACCACATTTTATCTGTGACATTAGTTTCTGAAGTTCTGCTGAAGGCCAGGGTATGACGCATCAGGGAATTCACGTGCTTAGCACAGGGCTGTGCTATATGCATTTGTTTAACAATGTCAAATACTAGTCTTCCTGCTCCATAGCATCCATGTGTCCTCTAAAAAGGATCCTTGACTCCATATCTCATCTCTACGAAAACTTGCTTCCAGCCTTCCTTTAGGTTAGTTTCCAGAGGCACAGGAATACATCAAGGTGTTTCTGACCAGCAGTGGCAGCTGCTTCAGATTCAGGATTGTTGCAGAGGAGACTGGGTTGCATGAGATAAAACCTTGCAGATTACATCTTTGCCACTTCATAGGCAACCCTAAATGCTTGTTGATCTGTGTTCATCATGGCTGTAGCAGAGCTGGGTAGGGACTTCTTTGTCTGGAGAAGGAAAGCCTGCATCATGCATTTCTTTCTTTTATTTTCTGCTGGAGCACTGGCTGCTTGGGCAGGAAGAGCTTTCCAGCATGACAGTTGGCAAAACCCACAACATGACAGGGTACCACAGATGCTTCCTGCTGCTACCATTTAGATTTCCTCTTGACTATTACTTGTGTGGCTGATGCACACAGAAACATGAAGTGGGTGCTAGTAGTTTCAGACTCGCAGAAGTTTTATCATTAAATTCTTTGTTGTTTGCCTGCCTGCATCAAGTATAAAAGCTGACACCATAAATGAGACAGCCGGACGCTGGTCTCATTCGAAGAGTAACTGGTGTAGTTACACCTTGTCAGATGCTGCGTATGAAATGATAAAAATCTAACCAATGGGCCCTATTCCACTGGTAAGGCATGCAAGTATAGTGCGTCATTTTGGGGGGTGGGAAGTCAAAACTGCAAGTATCTTCCCCACACCTTCTGTTTTTAAACTTCCTCTCCTGCAAGGCAGCTGTATGAATGCCTAGCTGGATGTGTGACAGCTTGCTTTATGATTTCTCACAGGGGCTGGCTGTAATATTATGAAATGTTATGCTGACTTCAGCATAATGTTTCAGAGAGGGATGACTTCTGAATGGCTGAACAACCCATGTACTGTACAGTGAAGAAAAGCAGAATGCAGCAACTGCTTAATATCACAGAATGATCAGGGAAGAATGCCCTGTTTTTCTTGTTAAAACAAGTTTGTGAGAACACTGCTCAAGTTTCCCTTAGCATTTTCTGTATAACAAAACATTACTTGCTTTTATCATTTTGCACACAAGGCTGCTGCATATGGACACACTATACCCAGAATCTCCATCACAGTCCAGTTGGGATTCCACAGGACATTTTACAGTGGCAGTCAGTACTATGATCCCAGCTGTGGGGGGGTGTTCAGCAGGGCCTTGTAGCAGACAAGCTATGCAGCACATCAGTATCACTGTACTGATGTACTACAGAAAGGAAAGCAGAAGTCAAAGCGCCTTCCCTTTCAAAGTGAGAAGGGATATCTGGGCACTTCAGCTTTTGCAGATGGGGTAGCAGGAATCACACAGAAGCGTGCTCTGATGGCTTCTGCCCATTCAGAACTAACACAGGCAGTCTGCCTTCAGTATGCTGTGAGGCTGCAGGCTAACCGGTATTTTCACACCACACAGTCTCTCTGTAATGGAGATGAAATATTAAATTCATGCTAAAATGATCACAAGGCAGCCTGTTCAGAGATGATAGCACCCAACGTATTCTGTGCACTGCTTACTTTTATTTTGCACTAATTCTTAGAAATTGTTTGCTGGCAACTGTCACTCTAGTTTAGGAGGATTCATCCTTAAATAGACTTTTGTTTGGAACAACACAGCCTGCTGTTAGTATCTAACACCCATGAACAGGCAGGGTGTGCTTTGAATTTCCCAGTTGTCAGAGAAGAGTCTTATGTGCTTGCTACAAGAGCTGTCCCTCAGGATCAGTCCTGCTGTAAGGAAGTTTTCCTGCCATAGTATTGAATATGATTGTGAAACTGACGTCTTCACCAAAAGCACGTGAACAGTGCACGCACAGGCACGTTTTACTGTGATATGCCAATTAATTGTATTAGCCGTATTAAATTTTGTTATTTTAACTAGAAAGCACTAGATTAAGTTTCTTACATCAGTTTACTTTGAATATCTGGTATTCCAGCTTGTTGCACTCCCTCCAACCAATCATCACTAATGGTAAATCATACAGTGATCCATAGTGGTTGTCAAATTTTGGTATTCAGATTCACAGCACAGATCATAGCAGATTCTCCTCCAAACCAAAACAAGAAGATGATGCTCAGCAAAAGTATGAGCTGACAGATACATAGTTCATAGCACTCCTGGCATTAGTGCCTCGAGGTGGAGGAGCCTGCTTTTAAATACACAGTTTTCAACTTGTATATTCCTTGGTTTTGCTCCTCTCACTCCTGTCCTGTTATCCTGCTTTGCTTGCTTTGAAGCTTTCAGCCATCTCCTCATTGCTCATGTTTTTCTTTCCACTCTCCCCTTTCAGCCCCTTCTTAACTTCCTTCACCCAGTTATTTTAGCTGTTGCTGTCTCTACCTCTAGTTACGGTGGAGCTATGGAGGGAGCACCTTTCTGTTTGAGTTACACTGTCCAGAGAGCAGCCCTTGCAGCTGACAGCATCCAACAAGCATCGGCTTGCAGCAGCAGCAGTTCACCCAGAAGTTGTTCTGGTGTGGTTCACCCACCACACTGTTGCAGAAGATGGCACAACTGATGGGACACTGCAGGAGCAGAGCAGGTAAGCTGAACAGCATCATGGACTACAGCCCTGCTGTGTGTAAGGCTCAGTTGAATATGATTGCACACCCCTATGAACAGGCAGAGCAGTTTGCTCAGAACAGGTACAGTTTTGCTGGACAACAGACAAGGCTGACTATACAGATATTTAACAGGTTTCAACTTGGCTGTGATATCCACTGGGATAGCAAGAGATGCCCGGGCCCAGGAGATCCTCCGTGACAAGTGTCGAAACTCGTTCAAAGCTTAGAAATGGTGAAGTATCAGCAGCAATGAGCATTCACAGAGAAATAACACTCCTCTCTCAAATGTCCTTCTTTGAAATGGCTAGGCCCTTTTGTTTCATAACATTACTCTTCACCCCAGAAAAGCAAACCTCTTGATCTGTGTAATTTTATTAGGGTGATTAGCGGTTAAAGGTATTTCTCCATGAAGTTTCCTGAAAGGCCTAATTTCTAAGTTACAGTACAACCAACCACCAAGCCTTGCAAGACTGAAGCAAGGCAAGAAAGCCGCAGGAGCACCTGTCTTGTATTTGGCAATATCCCAGAATTAGTCAGTTTTGAAATAACTATCTACAGCTTAACTGTTGAACTGAGAATCAATCCAAATGCAATGTTTCAAACTAGGTTCATGCAGGACTGTGCTTCAGCATCTCAAGTCTTTTGACAGTGATTATCAGAGATCAAGCATGACTTCAGAAAACAAACACTGAGGGGTCTATTGGTTGTGCTGATTGCCTTTGGGGACAGTAATGAAGAAAGCTGATGTAAAGTAATATTCTTGAGTGGTATTTTATCAGCTCACACTCATCATCCAGTGATCAAAAAGCCCATAGCACTTCTTCATTTAAAGTGCTGATCATATTGATTGGTATCAAGCTGACACATGATCATTTAGTTGATGTTCAGACTTGGACTCTTTGTGGCCCTTTTGAAAAAGAATAAAGTCAGTGAGATTTGAAGCTGTAATAATTGTATTGAAGCATTGACATACCTGCAGAATGGCTGGGGACCCCTGCTATCCAAAGCTCCTTCAAAACGACAGTTCAGAATAAATTTAACCTCCTGCTGTAATGTTCATCTTCTGATGAAACATTAATACACTTCAAATGAAACATATTGCAATATACTGGCCCTACAGAAGAAAAGTCAAGCTATTTCTGCACCTTTAGGATAGAGATCCAGAATGCAGCATATTAAGATTTAGTGGTATAGGGAACTCGCCCACATCTTCTATACATACTTGCTTAAATCTGGTTTCGTTTCAAAAGCAATGTGGTATTTATAACAAAAAGAAGGCCATGACAACTCTTTTGCAGAAACCCAGCTATTTTTTTCAAGAGTTAGAATATCAAATTTCTATTTGAATCATCTCATATTACTTTAACATTTGGCCAGCCAGCCAGCTAGTTTTATTACACAGCTCCTATGTGGACTATTTGACAGTGGCTTTTTCCTATTACATCCTTTTTAAGGACAGAATGACAGTTTTGTAATGTCAGGCTTCCTACATTAGCATTTGAAGTTTTAGATACAGTTATCTGAGAACCAGTAAAAAGAGACTCCAAATCTGATATAAGAGTAAGTTCTCCAAGTCTAACAAAGTACTTCTGTAACTCAGGGCAAAAGAGGGAGCATTTGATTTGTATGTAACAGCAGAACTGATATTGAATATAATTTGATTTCACTAATACTTTGCTCTAGTAGATAAAAGCCTGTAACACCAGCACTCTATGAACCAAGGTAAAGAGAAAAAACAGCTCAATTCCATTTAAATTACAGGCTTCTGTGACTGAAAATATATTTTTTGGTGCTCTTTATTCTTGACCAGTTAGAAGAATAATATAGATTCTGTTAACTTTATATGCCTGAAAGAGAACTTTCTTTCTTTATAAACTGATCTTAAACATATAAATCCAGGGAAAAAAACCTACAGTAGCTTTGAGAAAAAGGAGGAGGCTCTTGCAAGGAGCCCTAAGTAGAAAGAAGGGGAGTGAAACCACACGAATCTGTAAGCAAGTCAGCTTTTAGTTTTCCTTAGAAATAGCTATGATTTTTATTCTCCATACACCTGAAAGATTTGAAAGAGAAAGCAGAGTGAGAAATCCTCTTCTTCCTTGAGGGGCAGCTGCTTTCCACAGCTCTGCAGTGCAGCTTTCTGGAGATCATGTTAAAACGTGTGGGCTTTCCTGTGAATGACAGCCCTGAAGTGGCTAAGCATGCCTGGCTTGTAGTGTAAAACACGGATATTGGAAGGCATCAGCAAAGTTCAACAGATATCCACTGAAGAAAGTTCAAAAACAGGATCACAAGGTAGCACAGGTTGGAAGGGGCCTTGGGAAGTCATCTAATGCAAACTTGTGCTCAAAACAGAACTGTGTGGAGCATCATTCCTTTAATGCCTGCAAAGATAAAAAGGCTGTGAATTTTCCTCACAGAAGAGTTATTTGCTGCTAAATAGTCTCCCATCTCCACAAAAGAATAACTGAACAAGGTGTTATTTTGAACACTGGGATACTGATTTAACCCAGTATCCCTCTTCAGAGCTCAGAATATCTTCCCAAACAGCTGTCTGTAGAGCTGCATTGCATGGTGCTGGGATAAGCTCAGGAAGGAGGAGAGGAGGCAAGGATTAGAAGCCACACAAAATCTCTGCAGCTCAGCTCTGAACAGTAACAACTAAGCTCTCCTGCAGGTTTCTCTCTGAACAGGAGATGAGAAAAGCTCAAATCCAGTTTAAGCTTCAATAACCTTTACGAAGATTCACTAGGAGTTAAAAATAAATGAATAAAAAGAACAAGGTACCTGAAGCTTCCTACAAGGAGCTTTTAATTCATGACCAGCAACTTAATTCCTGGCCACCCCTGCAATCTAAAAGTATCACCACTGAAGACTTCAAGATTCGATGTTAGTGTAAGTTCGGCCCACTAGAGAACACCTCGAACAACTGTAACAAGTAACATTATTTGCACCAAACGTCATGTTGCTTACATAGGACAAACGAGGAATAGCTGCTAGAAGAGAAAAATGCATGCTTATATTGACTGGAAGATGCTCCTACAGAGGAATGGGAACTGCATGTTTTCTTCAGTGCACATATGCTATCCCCTATTTTATGCAGCTGATGACCCTGTCTTTCCAAAAGAGATTGAAGCCACTGGTGACATTTTAGACAACTGGAGTCCCTCTGTTGAAGGAAGTGCTCTAGGATACTTAAGAAGCCAGCAAGCATAGATATCATCTTGCATGCAGTAACTTAAAGCCTGAAAGCTGTAGTGTTTTAATTAAAAAAAAAAAAAAAAGAGGCAAGGAAGAATTACTTGTGCTTACTCATATAATTTTGGGGGTACTTTTTAAGTGGCAGCATCTCTCAGTGCTGTTGTCTAGAGCAACTCATAGGGGAGCTCTTTTGACAAGATGTATGGCAAGAACTAGCTTTGAAAAATATACATTTTTAAGGCAGAGGGACAAATTTTCTTCCGCATTAGAGAAACAACAGTATGAGTTTCATTTCGAAGTATTGAAGGCCAAAAGAGCTATCACCAGAATTGCTTAGCTGGTTACTTGGCACATCAGGATTCCAGAAGGCCCATCATGTCTTTACAAAACATAGTTATCATTGATGCCTCCTTAAGACATTAAATTTTGACTTTCCAGTCAGTCATCATTCAAAAAGGTTTACTATAGCAGAAGTAACCCAAGGTCTGCTATCTCAGTAAGCCCTCAGCAAATATCAGCAAGGCGAAAAGTTCCTTTCTTGCTTTGGCTCAGGTTTGATCACTCCAGTGACTGATTTCTTTGCTGAATTCCATCTATGTGGTGAAATAATGAGGCTAATGGAGAAACCCCTATAGAACTATACCTCCTGCTCAGGAATTTCAGGATCACAGAATGGCTGAGGCTGGCAGGGACCTCTGGAGATCACCTAGTAAACCCCCTGCTCAAAGCAGGGTTAGCTATAGCACAGCGCTCAGGGCTGTGCCTAGTTGGGTTTTGAGTGTCCACAAGAATGGAAACTTGGTAACCTCTTTGTGCAATCTGGTCGAGCATATGACCATCAGCACAGTACAAAAGGCATTTTCTTGTGTCCAGGCAGAATTTCACAGGTAGCTTGTGCCCGTTGCCTTCTGTCCTGTCAGTGGGCACCACTGAGAAAAGTCTGGCTCCCTCCTGTGATTCTACCAATCACACATGCACAACTGTGGCAAATCAGACCCCTGTGCAGCTGAAGAGGTTGATGGTTGTTGGGGGGTTGTGTGGTGGGGAGGAAGAGGGGCTGTTAAGCAGGTGTTTGTTACCTGGAGCAAAGGGATCTGTGCAGCACAGCACAGCCTAGCCTGCATCTGCTCATGTTAATTGTGTTGTGGATCAATCACTCCTCCATGTACAGGGGTCTGCAGGTGAGGATCACTACACTCATTCAAGTAAGTAGATGGTTTATTTATATATCTACTTGCCTTTGCATGTATTTTCCCTATTAAGTCCTTATAGGCCTTTTATTCTCATTTTCAAAGTCCTGCCCTTAGGACTTTTTGCTGAAGCAGGTCTTGAAAATATACCTGACAAATGTCTGCTATAAGACATAATGCTTTTGAAGTTTCCTGCCCAAGGCTTAAATTTAAAAATGTTATCCTAATTCTCAGCACCTGCATATCTGCAAACATGTCCCAAGTCCCTCTATGCGTAGAGCTGGAACCTTGTCTATAATCTGAGGTGCTTTCATATTAGCAGGCACAGAGGTACAAACAAACATCAAGGGTTTTTTTAATGAACTACATGGAAGAAATGTTTGCTCTTAAATGTTCATTCCCTACTGCTCATTCTTACTTTCATTCTTAGCCTAAAACCTAATTCTTCAAGCCTTCACACCAATTAAAAAGTGGAAGGAGCACATTAAACACCCTTCACTGGAACACCAACAGCCACACTGCACAGCAGTTTTCCAGTGTTTACTGATAGCGAGTGACATTTGAAGTAGAAGGCAGAATATTGTAAGGTGAATGATGATAAAGGAGACAAATCCACAGTTGCACCTCTTACTCTGTCTATCCTTCACTGATTCCCCAACAATAGTCCTTGGCAGGCTGGAAGGGAGGAGAAGGGGAGAAGATACCAAGTTTTTGGTTAGGTCCATATTAATACCAGATTTATTAGAACAGAGCATGATTGATTTTGTGCAAGGAAAAAAGCTACGAATTACTCATCTTTTGGGAAATGAAAATACAACAAAGTACCTTTTACAGAGTGTTTTTTTCTTCTTTTTTTTTTTTTTTTTTTTTAATTTAAGACCACTAATACAGTTGTTTTTGATGATGGTCCTTAATGAATTAGGCTGATACACTGATCAGAATATTAATGACCAATAAATGGCAAGTAAAGACATACTTTCCAATCTTTAAAAGTAGTGTTGTCAGAAAGAAAATCCTATTGCTTCCTACCAAAACAGCAGTTCCAAGAGCTCCCTATTTCACGTAATGTCTGACCCATGTATCTTTTGACAGGTCCTCTGGCAACAATCTGAATGTTCTAAATTGGTAATTTTGCTCTCTCCTAAAATACAGAGCACAAACCACTACGCAGTAGCTGCCAGCACAGTATTCAAAATGAGCTCTGTGTGCCCCCACAAACACCAGCCAGATAGAGGCTTACCTTCAGGAGATCTTGAGACTAGCTTAGGTCATCATCACCGAAGATGCTTTGTACCTACAGCCATCAGAGCAACCAACTTGTACAAGAGGGAAAGTGTCAAGTTAAATCTCATATTTGTAAAACTCAAATTGTCAAAGACAACAGATGCGTCATCTAGGGTTTATGTGTAGAGTGGTTTGGGGTTTCTATTGTAGTACCTTAAATCAGAAGTTCTGGGTGGCTATTCACTCCAAGTGTAGAAGCATCTGAACCGTACAGATTCTCTACAGGAGACTCTGAAAGCTTTTAAACAGGAAGAGCTAGCGTTCACTTTGTTCCTCAACAATTGTCATGGAGCAATGCCAAGACTGTGTCGTTGCTAAGGAGGAAGCCACAGATAGCTTTCTGTATGATTGTACTTACAGTCTTCCAGCATACTTCAGCTTCATTCCCTGTAAGAGAGACAGACTAGGAAAGCAGATTAAGATGTTTAGAGTACTATTAGATACCGCTAGCTTTGCAATGAATCAAAGCTACACAGACTGCATACTTCTGTTTCAGCAAGCAACTGCTGCTTCAGAGTTGGGTTCATACATGTCACTACACCAGAATTTGATGCCAGGTGATGTTCCAATATTCCAGAACGTTCACTTCCATCAACCAAAAGCCATTAATTCCCAGAAATCCCCATTTTTCCCACCATCTTCCAGTAAGAGTAAGCCAAGGGATGCTTTTCAACTTCACAATTTTATACATTTTTAGAAAATGAGATTTCACATAGCAGTAGTAAAGAGTTACAGAGGAATTCATTAAATCTTAACGACCAAATATGACTGAAGCAAGTTACTGCCCATTTTCTGCAATGCCAGGTGTCCTTATCTGTCTTTTAAAGGAATATACTCAGAACACTGACAAGATCTGAAGTGGTCATAAAGTTGTATGTGAACATGGAACAAAGTCCTCTGCCTGCTCCATACAGGACAGGAGAAACTTGCTTGCTTCCTTGTAGTTGCTCATGTTTTGGACATAAGCTATGTCAATCTCTCCTCCATTTATACATAATCTCCTATTAATGTTTCTGAGTTATTATGAAGGCATAAGAGCCACATCCAGTTTGTTTCCCCTATGGAGGAATACTCTCTTTGTGCGATTTGCAGTGTAAGCACCAACTCTACCTTTAGGCTTTGCAACTAGAACGGTTTCATTGCTAATGTTCTGTCTAGTGAGCTTTTTAATGCTGTCTTTTAGGTGCTTAAGCCCATCCTGCTTTTTAAGCAAATCCTCATCCTAGAATCATAGAATGGCTTAGGTTGGAAAGGTGCTCAAGACCATGCAGTTCCAACCCCCTGCCATGGGCAGGGACGCCTTCCACTACACCAGGTTGCTCAAAGCCCTGTCCAACCTGGCCTTGAACAGTGCCAGGGATGGAGCATTTACCACTTATTTGGGCAACCTGTTCTGGCGTGACAGCCGGTTAAAGTGAAGGAGACTTTACTTTGAACAAGTAGTACCTCTAGGAGGCTTTTGGTTTAGACACTGTGTAAGCTGCACCTCCTTGATGGATACTGCAGTCTCTTGAAGAAGGTGGTTAAGTGTACAGTCCAAGGGAGAAGTTTAGCAGGAATACCTCTGAGGCTCTTGATTCTGGCCCAGAACTTCCTGTGACATGGCCCTGAATAAGCAGATCAGTTCAGCCTCGAGAGAGGGTGGAGCTGGACTCTCCATGCTGGCCAGGCTCATCCAACAAAGCTAAGGTATTTCAGTGAGGGCTTGAAATCTGTAGGATCAGAGGATATGCACTGCTTGGGGAAGAGGGTAAAGGTGGAAAAAAAGCAGGAGCTCTTTAGAACCAAATATTTGCATTAGTACATTCAGGCATTCTACTTTAATTTATGCAAGGCTTAATTTGATCTGGATTCCTCCTGAGGTCTGCAGAGGCTGGCACCACTGCCAGGAGAAACTGAACTTATCAAGGCCTTTGGAATAACTTCCCAATACAGCCAGCCATACACGAGTTAATCTTTCCATGAAAATTACATTTGCTTTCTGACTTTGAAACACATCGGAAAGCTTCCTTTTATTCTAAGAAAGTCTGAGAATTACATATTTTTTTGGCTGCTTACACTTGCTGCGTTTACCCATTGGTATGCCATTAAGGCATTTGTTTTCATTGCTCTCTCCAGACTACTTGGTGATGCAGCATTTTCATCTTCCTGTAAAGACCAATACAGAAAAAATGAGTCCCTTACACTACAATTTTCATCCCCTCCCTCAAAGCCAAGATTATATGTCCTAACATGTCTTGTACACATGTATAGTAGACATCCTACCCAGAATACTGCATTTTAAGCCACTTCAAACAGCCTTCGGTCTAGAACTGCATTTTTAAGTTACTATTGCTTGATGCCACGTACACCATGACCTCTCAAAAGGGAATGAGCTTAAAGTCGTAGCAAGAACTATTTTACAGAGTTGCCATGCATTTCAGGTTGAAATCAGTACTGTACTGACATTCAAGAATTTCAGTCCCCATACAGACTGAGATGAACAGCACTTTTATTTATTTCAGTTACAGGAAGAAAGACAAGTAAACCTTACAACCAGAAAGGCAATGAAGGCCTCATGAGCTCAGTGAAAATCATTTCATAATCTAGGCAACATGTTATGATTTCTTGAGATCACAAAGAAAGCATACTCCACTCTTCAACAACTTTTCCTTGTTTCTCTAAAGAAGTTTCCTGTTAACAGAATCAAGGACACCAATTCACAAAGCCTACATTCACCCTCTCATCCCCCACTCAAAAGGCTTAAGTGTAGACTTTATTCCAAAAAAGTTAACATGCAGTCATGTTCACAGCTAGAAGAGAGAGAAAAATTAGTCTGTCATCATATGACGTTAAATTATGATGTGTTAATGAACTTAAATGAAGATACTTTCACACATGGCAGTGTACTTCATGGGTAAAGAAACTCTCGTTATTTTAAGCCAATGCTTATCTGACTCTTCTAGTAGGGAGAAAACAGCTTCAATAAAAACTGATCTCCCTACCAAGCACTCTAGGTAAGAAATATGATGTGCTAGAAATATGTGGGAGAAATCACTATACAAAGTGTCAAGTGCAAACCCCCCTTGCCTAGAATTCAGTGTATTTACTTAAGTACAATAGAAAAGACTGAATTCAGGAGTGGTTGACAGTGGGACACAGTGCTACAGGTTGAGCATCATCCGCTAAAGGACAAACCCAAGCATGCATATATCCCACCACAAGGAAAAGACACTCTTGAGCTTCCTAACCTGCTCATTTCTGCCCTTTGCTCTAGTATTATCTTCTCCCTTATCAACTTAGTTCCTGCACTCCTTTAAAGAGACCCCTTTAAAACTCTCCAAAATTCTGGATTATTTGGCAAAAAAAACCCAAACCACTCACTATTTTAAAGAACACAGAACTAGAAGAAGAAAGGAAGAAACAGAGTTCATAATTCATCTCTTCGGTTGCTCTTCTAAGCTGTATCAGACCTAGAAAACATGAGGAGGTACTAGATCAAGTACTGTTCCATCATCCTTGAGGCAGATTGTAACTTCAGTCAATCGCTAGGCAGGTCAGTTTTGGTGCACAAGATGTTAATCAACTGAAAAATGTATTTTCACCCGTGCTGTATGTCAGTTCTCAGTTTCCCCTCACTTACGTGGTCAGGGATATATTTGTCACGCAGTACTCACAGAAAGTCTCAGAATTTCAGGCAGACCTATTCATTCCCAAGGAGTATCCTTTTGGCTCAGTGAAGACTTTTTGAGTACTTTGGCTTACATTCATTCTGGAGGCAGCCACCATGACTCCATTTACCCAAAATACTATTGTTAGTGGGGCTGTTACCATCTTGAAATTGCAGTGTAAAGTTAACCAGCAATATAAAAGAGTACTTTTTCAGTGTTTCCAGTGAAGGAGCTGAGAAGAAAAAATAATCTGTAAGAAACCATTGCTGCAATTTTATTTTAACAAAAGGGCAGATTTATTCATGTTTACAAACAAGTTCCAAAAACAAAAAGGAGAACATGTATGCTACCCACTAACAACCTTTCAAAATGCCAACAGCCCTCATGCTGCATGAAGGATTCTATAGATTAGAAAAAAAAATAAAATAAAAATCACAGTTCCACTCACAGTTCACCAAGACAGCACTAAACTAACATGTTTAGACAAAAACAAAGGACTAAGATTCTGATGTATTTTGATTTAATCCATTTTGCCCGAGATAACAGAAATATTTCAAGCAAGTTCCATCAGATTGATGTCCTGCATTAAACAATCCTACTAAGTTCTGAACAAAAGTTATTCAGTATGTTTCTCAAAATTTTTAAAAATTAAACAATTGTTTCAAAACCATTAAGTAGTAAATGTATTTAAGAAACTAATTAGGACAGAGGCCATAACTTCATTAGAACACCACTGCTCATGTTTTTACAAAGCATTAGTGTTACCTATTTGGCTATTAGTAGTAGCAATTTATCTACAATATTTAACAAGGTAAATTGCAGGCAAAATTTAGTACAGTTTCAATAGAAACACCCTTTTCCTGAAAATACAGCAGTATTTGAAGGACTAGTTTTTTGTTTTGGATTTTTTTTGGGTTTTTTTTTTTTTTTTTACTTTTTCTCCGCATCATTTATAAGGAAGCTTCCCATCTATGAACAGGAACAAAAAAGTATCTACAAACCTTGTAAACAGATCTGTATCATTTATAAACATAAATAATCCAAATTATTAACAGCCAACAGCAGAAATTAAAGTATCGATTCAACGATCCAGGGCCTCCTTGCCCTTCCCAGCCTTTCCCTCAGAAAAGGATCATGATAAACTAAAGCTCTGCTAACACACTGTTCAGGACCATTCTTAAGTACAACAGATGATCCACAGGTCACTTATGCTGAGTTACTGTTTATCTGTCAGAGTTCATTATTACTCCCACCCCAGAAAAGCACCCTCCAGTCTGGCAGAAAGCTTTTGTTTTTTAAAAAAATAAATCTACATTCGTACAAGTGTGTCTTCTGTTGAAGTCCGAGACAAGAATATCATCTTGTCCATCATAATGTGTGAAGAGACCCAGTTTCAATTTCTTTACAATGCAGCTAGTGTGTTAACATTCAGCTTACAATCAGAGTGATGTTTCCAAACTATGTAGCGGGCTCCCTGGGGATGAAGAGGTAGCAGACTTGTTCATGTCTGTTGTAAGGTGAATTCCACTGTCAACCGCATTGTTATTTTTATTGGGAGAGGGTGGGGGAGTAGAGTTGCGTTTTGTTGGAGCATCATCTTCAGCATCAGTATCATCAATAAGGGGAATATGAGGCTCGGAGTCTTCTATTCTAAACTCAGGATGCGTCATAAAATTGTGAATTGAACTTCGTGTCTCAGGTTTCTCTAGCCCCTCATACAAGGAGCTACGAAATGCATTCACCACTCGGATCTGTGAACAAAGAAAAAAGGTTGTTAGAATGCTGCAGGCTACTGGCAATGGCATGGTTCTTATGAGTTTGAATCCACAAACAGCTAGACATGAGTGAATCGAATTTGTGTATGATGCGGTGGAACTTGCAATAAACTGTAAAAAATGAAGAGCGTTTCAGTAAGCGCTGCCAATCTACACAGTAGGAATAAAAATTGTACAAGTACTGCAAAAAGCTGAAGGGCCTAAGATTCATTCATGGCACTAGAATGGTTCAATTATTTAATACGGGCTAAGTGTTTTTCAGAAGTGAGGCTGACAATTATTTACTTATTCACAAATTAAATCTCAGTGAGTGTTTTATTGAATACTTGGGGGAGGTGGGAGTGGGGGAAGAGGGAAGAGGCTGGAAATAAGTTAGAGGATAAAAGGGTTACTAATTCTCATGCTAGGAATTAGGATGTCAACTGACTATGAAAAAGCCAAGCAAGTGTAAGCCAATGTCACAATGACCGGACACTTACAAAGAGTCATGCAAAAAAGAATACCACTGTAACAGCTGTAAATATTCGAGTATATACCCATTTACGACACTAGAGAAAGCTCCTTACTGAAAAGTGCTTTGGAAACTTAAGACCAAAACTAGGAAATTGAATAGTGTATTGTACAACTATGTAGCCACGACAGGTTGTAACTCTGAAGAGACTATTCAAGTATGAGAAAACCAGGTGACCAGCCTTTGCTCGAGTCTTCAATTTACACTGAATTTGTGGACAAAATTCCCAGGGAGAATATTATTTCAAGTCCTTTCGTTTCTTAACTAATGTTTCTCAAATCAAAAAGCTAGGTTTACAGAATGCATAACATTTTAGACTCAAATTAGGTAGAATAAAGTACACCTTTATTTTGCAAACTGTGCATGTCCAGGATTGACTTGAATTTAAGCTTTCCAAATTGTGATGTGAATGATGAAACCTCCTGCCCGCCCACCCTTTTCCCTCCCACACCCCACACATTTCCCTCACCAACTACAGGAATTCAGAATTCATTCTTGCACTGATAAAACAAAGGTTAGGCAGCAGTCAGTAACCCCTCTGTCCAACCCTTTTATCAAGATACAGTTTCCCTCATCTGTTAGCTCCCTGTTCAGTTCTCAACATCTCTACTCTGGGTGTACCCAGCAAAGCAGTTTCAATCCCAAAGCTCCTCTGTTGCATAGTAAGCAGCAGAGCAACCCTGAGTAAACAAGAACTTACTGTGACAAACAGTAAGTCCAATTTAAAGATATTTTTAAGTACTTCCAAGATGACTTGTTTCAAGCTGAGAAATGTGTCGTGACTACTGCTTCCATAGAGTTCCTTGGTAGTAAAAATAAAGTGACTTCCAGGTGAAGGAATGAAGGTGGACAGTCAAGCAGACTTCAAAAAGCATCTAAAATACACCAGCCACCCTCACTGGAAACAGAGAAGTGCTCCCTAAAAGCAACACATTATCAGATTTGTTACCACAGAATCACTGCATATTATGAGAGTCTTAGGTTCTGACCATGTTCTTTGATATCCTGAAA